AATGCGACCTCACGTTCGTGTTCTTCTCTCCTCAAAGCAGCTTCGCGTTCTTGTTCGTCTCTCCTCAAAGCGGCTTCGCGTTCGTGTTCTTCCCTTCGTATGGCAGCTGCTTCTCTTTGCTGCTCACGTTCAATCTTGGCCAGCTCTAGTTTAAGTTTCATCGTTGCCAAGTCAGTTTTCTCTGCAATATAGTAAGTTTCATGAGTTTCAGAGTCTATCTTACCTTGCTCTAAATAGTAATCCAGCAACAGGTTGTGTAGGTCATTTTTGTTGGCTTGGTAGGGAACTTCTAGTTGATACTCATGTGCAAGAGTTTGTAGTTCAATCCTCTTGGCACGACTCAAAGTCCCTATTTCACCTGCTGGATTTGCACGGAAAGTTTGGAGACGAAACATGGTGAAATTAGCAAATAAAGGTACACGAATGTTCAATAATGAAATGTCAGAAACAGGACAACGTGGCAACTGGCACCTATCCTGTGTGATCTTTAACAATTAACGTTAAGTGAAAGATATTAAATGATTAAATTAAATCAAGGGCGCAGGAAATCTTGTACCCGGTACTCATGTAAGAGAATAAGGGCAAGAAAATCCTACTAACAAATGAAACAAAGTTTCGAAAACAAATGAAACAGTTAAATGCTTCAAAAGTAAAATTGGTAGTCCAAGGATGTAGGCATACCTTGCCAAGTCTCTATAGGACATAAAGCAAGTTTTTCCTACTGAATTTAATATGATACTTACAGAATTAGCGAACTTTTGTGCTCTGAAAAAATAAGCTAATTCCCTACCGTTGTATGTATCATCATCTCTGACTGACGTGTAGGGGTGCGAGGTGTCAACTGGTGACGAGAACTGCTGCTGAGGTCCCAATTCAGCAACTAAAGTTCGAGCTAGAGGAACTATGGCCCTCTTTATCCTCCTACAGTCAGATTGCAGAAGATTGGGTACTCTTGACCCGGGGCAGACCACAGTACCAGGGTACCAATATGATGATCTGTCAGAATGAGAAATATTCAAGGGACATAGATGGTAAATACGAGTAATAACAAGGAGGGAGAGATGACCAATTAAGAGTATGACTGCGGCCTACAGTCACCACGTAATCCAAAGTTGTCTCACCTTCACTATATGTTACTCTCGTAATGCACAATACACCGCACCTTATAAAAAATGAAATTGAATGAAAAATAGTAAAGCTACGTTAACAAAGTTAAATACGCTTACCATAAATTACCACTTGGCACCAGTACCTGAGTGAAGATCTCCCGGACAGGCCCCCATATAACTTGTGACGGTAACGCGTTGGTGTTCGGCTGTTTAAGGCTAGGGGTATGGCCTCGTCACATAGTTATAAAAAAAAATAGAAAAAACTGGAACTTCGTCTGTGGTAAGGTAAGGAGAAGACACACAAAACACAAGTAAACTTTAACAATGAAATTTTAATTACGTTAAATAAATCAAAACATGAAAATAATGCACAAACAAATATGTATAATAAAATCAATCAATCAAAATAATAAGAATACTTAAATGACACAATGAAAAGTTACGTTAAGGCAAAATAACAAGAAGTGCAACACAAAGGTAAGTGGGAGGTGCTGGAATATTGGCTTAAAGCCACCACCTCTCTCAGTACACGCTAACGTCTAGCTGGGAGGAGTGCTGGCTACGAAAGCACTGAACATTCTGAGGACTGATGTTGGGGCGACCCCAGACATCAGGTAGTATTGGGGGCGAGTGCAGGTGCAGCCAGACCGGCGACCAATCAGCGGAGCCGTAGCGATCAACGGGTAGTTTGGTGGTTGGAGTTCGAACAGGTGGCTGGCTGCATACGTTTCTGCTCACCCTGGCAAGCCTTGCTGGTGTTGTTGTCGTTGTTGGACATTTCTTCCATAGTCTTTTTATATAATTGTGAAGACGTAATTATGGAGGGAAGAGCAGGCTCAATCTCTTGAAGGAGATTATCGTCACACTATGGTCATCTTGAAACTAAAGACCTGATATTCCTCTTCGTCCAAACATTTCTTCAAGGGGCTCTGTCTGTTATCGTCTTGTCTCCTGGCTTGTCAAAACTCTCACTCACTTATCTTGGTACATTACCCCCTACTCACTCTTTTTAATCTCAAGACTTCATCGTTGGATTGCACCTAAAACCCTCCTGTAAGATAGTCTTAATGTTGATTCACTTTTAAATAACTTTCCCTTGGATAATGTACTCTCTATCTTTAGTCAGAAGGCGACTGACAACCTTCATCATCATTTGCTAACGTCTTCTGCGATCTTTTCACATTCAGTGTTGACTAATTCATTCCCTTTCAGAGGTAAATATTTATCTCAAGCTTTCGATGCCACTATGGGCTCTCTCTGTCTCTCTCTCTCTTGTTCTTGTCAAACTCTATATAGAATTCATTTAAACTATTCTTCTTCACACTATTGATATTCGTTCCTTTCTCTGACTTCGCTATGTTGATGATATTTTCGCTCTTTGGCCTCATGATTCTAATCTTTTCCAACCTTTTTTTCTCCTTTCTTAATTATCCTGCTCCTATCTTTTTAAAAGATTTAGGAAAAGAGGGTAATCTAATTTCCCCTTCTTTTCCTAGATGCACATGGTCCTAGCCTTATTTCATGCTTCTCTTTATCTTTCTACCACAAACCTATGTAAAGTGGTATGTACATTCATTTCTTTTCCTATCATGCACATGTTGTTAATAAGAGTGTTCTCGTTTCCTTTTTCCTCTGGCCTCACCGCATCAGTGGTCCACAGTGTCTTGATACTGAAGTTCTCTCTCTTTGTAATCTTTCAATCGCTTTTCTAGTCCATTAAATCTTATCAAGCATGCATGTTTTCAAGCTAAAAAAAAAACTTTCTTTCATCTGAAACCTGTTTCCAACACTATTAACACTATGCTGTGCCTTCCCTTCAAAAATTAACTAAAAAATCTGACTAATACTCTTCGTCCTCTTCATGTGAAACTCGCCTTTCGACAAACTAACACACTTCATAGTAATGTGGTTCACACTGCTCCTCCTGCTGCCTATGCTGCTGTTGTCTACCCCATTTCCTGTTCGTCTTGTCCTCTCTAATATTTTGGTGAAACTGGCCGTACCCTCAATGAGAGACCTAAACACAAAAGAAGTGTTTAGTCTTCAAACGCAATCAATGCTCTCTTTTGTCATGTTAGACTCTAATCATCCTATTGATTGGTCTTCTAAAATAATCTTTCCTACCTCTTGACAGACGCCGTATTGTGAAATCGGTTTTGATTACTGATTTTGTTGCTGTTGCCTCGTCCCTTTCATATCATATAATAAAATGGTCTAACCTTAACAACCGTGATCTGACTTAGCTTTAGCTACTCTAAGATCTCTTTCTTCTGTTACTATTTTGTTACTAACTCGTTTGTCACTCTTTCACCTCGTTCTCTTCTCCATCTGGCCTTCTGCAGATTTTTATTATTGCTATTCAACCTTATTTCTATGATTCTAAATTTGCTCAATTCTTCACCATTCTTCTACTTTTTCCCAATACTTTATCCTTATTCACAGACTGCAAGATTATTCCGATTCTTGAATTATATTTAAAAACTTCAAACCAATTTCGAAGCATCACACCTATTCCTATACTTCAGCCGTAATTCTGTTCTTCAACCTTCTCATCTTTCACCTCACTCTCATAACTTATAATTGACTTTCTCTGACACTCTTTCATTACACTACTTGATAATGGTCCAGGATTGACCGAAACGTCGTCGCTTATCATGGACCTGGAGAGACCGAAACGTCGTCGTTATTATGGCCCAGGACTGACCGAAACGTCGTCGTTATTATGGCCCAGGACTGACCGAAACGTCGTCGTTATTATGGCCCAGGACTGACCGAAACGTCGTCGTTATTATGGCCCAGGACTGACCGAAATGTCGTCGTTATTATGGCCCAGGACTGACCGAAACGTCGTCGTTATTATGGCCCAGGACTGACCGAAACGTCGTCGTTATTATGGCCCAGGACTGACCGAAACGTCGTCGTTATTATGGCCCAGGACTGACCGAAACGTCGTCGTTATTATGGCCCAGGACTGACCGAAACGTCGTCGTTATTATGGCCCAGGACTGGCCGAAACGTCGTCGTTATTATGGCCCAGGACTGACCGGAACGTCGTCATTTCCTCTATTTACACAAATATGAGGGGTGGGGGAAGGGAAGGGAATTATCAGGGGATCAAGCACCAAGCCATTACGCCTATATAGCACTGGGAAGGGGTCAGGATAAGGATTTGGGATGAGACGGGGTGAAAAGGAATGGTGCCCAACCACTTGGAAGATCGGGGATTGACCGCTGATCTGCATGAAACATCTATATCCGCCACCAAGATAATGTTATTAAAAGAAGACTAAAACAGAAGCGGAAAAGAAACGGGAGAAAAGGAGGAAACACCACCCCCATTTAAAACTTTGACCCAAATATCTCAGTAACAAGCTTATTGCGAATAACCGAACTAAATAACGAGCTCACTATAGCCAGTGCTGCATGGACATTTTGTTCTGAATAGCTAAATCTAAAACAACAACAACAACAATCGGAGAGGGATGTTGGAGGCAAGTGGATGGAGAACTGTGGAATAGGAAGAAGGGAAGGAAGGGAGATGGGAAAAGGATGGGGGGATAGGAAATGAGAAATGAGAGAGGGGAAGAGTGGAGAAGGGGGGGGATACCAGGGCTCAGGTGGAGAGGTGAGGAAGAAGAGTTGAGTGTCTATGAGAGAGAATAGTGAAGGGAGAAGTGGGGGAAGAGAGGCGTGATAGGAGGATAAGGGGGATGTGGAGGGAGAGTGGTAGGAGAAAGAAGATGGGGTGCGGGAGAATGGACAAGGAAGGAGAGGGGGAGAGGAGATTGGGAAGAGAGGAATGATTAGAAAAATTGAAATGAGAGATTGGGGAGTTTGGAAGAGGGGGAAGCGAGCAAATCCACAAGGGCCTTGATGAGTGTTCGAACTAACGCACGGGATGTTCCCAGACGCGGCTTAGTCAACTGTAACTCCACATGGTCAAAAGATTTGCAGCGTGGAGTGCTACTGCCCTTACCAGGATCCCGAAGCTTCTCTAAAGAACAACCGGGGTTTCACACAATTCCCCTATGCATTCGGGCTCTGTCAACCAAATGTTCTACCTCTATGCCCCTACTTCAAAACACACAGAAATCACAATAGCGTAATACGTCAAATAAACAAATCCACAAGGGCCTTGATTGTTCATTTGATATATCACACTATTGTGATTTATGTGTGTATAGGGCTATTCTTTGTTTGATCCTGTTTTCTAAGGCTGGTAAGTTGGTTTTCATTCTTAGATTCTCTGTGCGTCTCTATAGATGCTCCCAGCATTGTTCTGAGGGCATCATTTTGAGACACTTCCAGTTTCTCACATTGGTTATCACTCAGGGATGTAAGAGCAGGAGCAGCATAGTCAATGAGTGACCTAACTGCTTGAACGTACTACATTTTGAATACTGGTAGAGATGCACCATCTCTAAGACTGGTCAGGGAGCGCAAAGCTGAGTTTCTGGCTTTGCAACGTTGCCGAAGATATTTAATTTCTTGAGCGAATTTCAACTGGCTGTCTATTATGGGTTCAAGTTATTGGAAAGAGGTTACCCACTCAATTTCCTATCCCTGTATTGCGAGATAGTCTTGAGTTATCATTTTAACGGTCATTGCTTTGGTTTTATTGGTGTTTAAATTTCACTGCTATGCGTTCTGCTTCCCTGCTGATGATGTCTAGGATTTTTGTGCATGGTTCCTTGCGCCTTTGCCATTGATGATGATCACACAGTCGTCTGCATAGTTAAGCAGTTTGGCTTTTGGTAACTTGAGCTTCATGAATTGTTCCATGAGAGAGTTGAAGAGGAAGGAGCTTAGTATTCCTCCTTGCGGAGTTCCATTTTCCAGCCTCTTTGAGGTCCATGTTTTTCCTTGGAATTTGACTTCAGCTTCTCTGTTAAGCAAGCTTTCTTTGGCAAAGGCAAGAGCGTGTCCTTTGAATTTCCTTATCCACCAGGCAGTACAGTGTAGCTGGAGCATTGGCTAGTGCGAAGGCTTTTTCAATGACCAGATAAATAAGGATTCCTTGTTTGTTATTAATTTTATCCTGGAGGGAGATATGGCATTCTGTGGTTCTCACCCCTTTTCTGTAAGCAAATATATTTTGATGCATTGGTTTGGCTTTCCATTCAATTCGATTAAGAGTCATTCTTTCTGCTGTTTGACCAGACAGCTAAATGAGATGGGTCTTGGATTTCTTGAGTCTATGGGTTTTAGAATGGGAACTATTAAACTATTAATTAAATTATTAAAGGAACGAATTAAAGGAACGAATTAAACTATTCGAAGAGAGTGGTCGAGTTCTTGTCCCCCAAACATTTTTAATGAGATTCAAGAAGGTTTCTTCACCTTTTTCTCCTAGCATGGTCAGCATTTAGTAAGTGATTTTGTCCTCACCTGGAACTTTTTTTTTAGCTCTTCTGAGTTCTTTCAGATTCAAATGTTGGTTTAGTTCGTCAGGTAAAGTTAAAGCATCTTCTATTTTTTTCCATCTTGCTGCTTGAAGTCTTTGTTGGTGAGTCAGAGTTGCTCGTGGAAGTTGAGTGAAGCTGGTTCTTGAAGCAAATAGATTTGCTAATCTCTCTGCTTCATGATCTGGATGTTCATGGTAGGGCAAAGCAGGAGGCGATTTTCTTTTGGCCCTTTTGATCTGCCTCAGGATGTCGCCCAAGGATGTATGCTGATTTAGCTTGGCACTCCAGTTGAGCCATTTTTCTTTTTTGATTTTTGCTGTTTCTTCGTGCACATGATCTCGGACAGCTCAAAGATGTCCTAGATTAACTTCGGTTCTATCTCTTCTGAAATTCTTTCGTGCACAATTTAGTCTGTTACGTAGTTCTTTGATCCTATCACAGTAATACCAATGGTCCTTATGTTGTTGGGTAATTGTTTTCCTCTTGGGGATGGTGTGATTCGCTGCTCTATGCATTTACTAAATATTTTTCCATTTTTTCTGTGTTTTCAGGAGGAGTGTAGTTTTGGGACCAAGTTTCGAGATATTCCTGAAACTTTGTCCAATCTGCTTTGATAAAATTCCATCCGGGCTCGGGAGCTGGAGGTCTGAAAGGTAGTATTATAATAATAACTGTTTTTGTAGCAAAGTGGTCACTAGTCAGTATTAGGTCAACCGACCAATGACACAACACATAAATCCTGGTGGAGACAAATGTGAGGTCCAACTTCCCCTCACTAATATGGGTTGGTTCTGTAGAGTTACGCAGACTTGACTTCAGACACTTCATCCAATAAGTGTTCAATATGTCTTCCGCTGGCGTCGGTTCTTTTTGGATCAAGTAGTAATTCACTATGACCGTTGAAGTCACCCCGTGATGATAATAGGTGTGGTGACTACTATTTCAAAGATTGCAGAGAGATTCATGTCGTGTTCTCTAGGGCCCCTGTATACAGTGAAAATGGACAGCATTGAGTTCCTCATGATGAGATTAACTTCCATAATTTCGACGTTCTCACCACAGTCAGGCAGGTCTGTAGTTACCGTGGCAATGATAAGATTTCTTACTAGTATTGAAGTGCCTCCTCTGGTGCCACCTTCTGCAATTGATCAGTGGTAACCTTGATATCCTAGGATATTGATACTTCTTTCAATCCTGGTAATTCTCCCATTCTTACGCCTCTTACTTCTATCCACCTTCTCTCCAAATCTTCTCACCTGTCATTCCCTCTCCACCTGGACCACCCCTTCTCTTCATACATCCCCACTTTCTCTCCCCATCTGTGTCAGTCTCTATCTGCCTTCCTCTGTGTCTGCCTCCGTCTCTGCCCTGTGTTGCCTGTCTGCCTTCCTCCGTGTCTGCCCCCTTCTCTCCCTGTGTTGTTGTCTGTCTGCCTTCCTCTGTGTCTGCCTCCGTCTCTCCCTGTATTGTTGTCTGTCTGCCCTCCTCCGTGTCTGCCTCCGTCTCTGCCCTGTGTTGCTTGTCTGCCTTCCTCTGTGTCTGCCTCCGTCTCTGCCCTGTGTTGTTGTATGTCTGCCTTCCTCTGTGTCTGCCTCCGTCGCTGCCCTGTGTTGCTTGTCTGCCTTCCTCTGTGTCTGCCTCCGTCTCTGCCCTGTGTTGCCTGTCTGCCTTCCTCTGTGTCTGCCTCCGTCTCTGCCCTGTGTTGCCTGTCTGCCTTCCTCTGTGTCTGCCTCCGTCTCTGCCCTGTGTTGTTGTCTGTCTGCCTTCCTCTGTGTCTGCCTCCGTCTCTGCCCTGTGTTGCCTGTCTGCCTTCCTCTGTGTCTGCCTCCGTCTCTGCCCTGTGTTGTTGTCTGTCTGCCTTCTTCTGTGTCTGCCTCCGTCTCTGCCCTGTGTTGCTTGTCTGCCTTCCTCTGTGTCTGCCTCCGTCTCTGCCCTGTGTTGTTGTCTGTCTGCCTTCCTCTGTGTCTGCCTCCGTCTCTGCCCTGTGTTGCCTGTCTGCCTTCCTCTGTGTCTGCCTCCGTCTCTGCCCTGTGTTGTCTGTCTGCCTTCCTCTGTGTCTGCCTCCGTCTCTGCCCTGTGTTGTTGTCTGTCTGCCTTCCTCTGTGTCTGCCTTCGTCTCTCCCTGTGTTGTCTGTCTGCCTTCCTCCGTGTCTGCCCCAGTCTCTCCCTGTGCTGTTGTCTGTCTGCCTTCATCCGTGTCTGCCTCCGTCTCTGCCCTGTGTTGTTGTCTGTCTGCCTTCCGCTGTGTCTGCCTTCGTCTCTCCCTGTGTTGTCTGTCTGCCTTCCTCCGTGTCTGCCCCAGTCTCTCCCTGTGTTGTTGTTTGTCTGCCTTCATCCGTGTCTGCCCCAGTCTCTCCCTGTGTTGTTGTCTGTTTGCCTTCCTCCGTGTCTGCCTCCGTCTCTCCCTGTGTTGTTGTCTGTCTGCCTTCCTCCGTGTCTGCCTCTGTCTCTCCCTGTGTTGTTGTCTATCTGCCTTCCTCTGTGTCTGCCTCTGTCTCTCCCTGTGTTGTTATCTGTCTGCCTCCGTCTCTGCCCTGTGTTGCCTGTCTGCCTCCGTCTCTCCCTGTGTTGTTGTCTATCTGCCTTCCTCTCTGTCTGCCTCCGTCTCTCCGTGTGCTGTTGTCTGTCTACATTCCTCTGCGCTAACCTCCGTCTCACCATGTTATGTTGTCTATCTCTGTTTTTGTTTGTCGTCCTGTATCTCTCTTTGCTTTGGTCGCCCTCGTCTGACTGCAACCCAATCTCTCTCTGTCTCTGTTTCTATCTATATATCTGTAAATGTGTGTGTGTGTCTGTGTCTGTCTATTGTTCATTTTGTCTCTGTTTCTGTCGGTGTGTTTGTCTATTTATCTCAGTATTTCAGCTGACTATCTCTGCCCCTCTCTCTCTCTCTCTCTCTCTCTCTCTCTCTCTCTCTCTCTCTCTCTCTCTCTCTCTCTCTCTCTCTCTCTCTCTCTCTCTTATAAAAATAATATAATAGTCTACCGTTGGCGTACAGGTGGTCTGCTGGTGGGAAGAGTTCCCAACTATGGTCACACTACTGACCCTCTCCAGGATGCAAACCCACTAAAAGCTTACTAACTCCTATTACTTAAGGAGTAAGTACGTAAGTACGTAAGTACTTACTTGCTTGTAAGTAAGTACCAGCTTACTGCTAGGTGAAAAAATAGGCATTTGGTGATGGGAAACGTGTCTAACTATTTCTTTCCTGCCTAGGATTGTAACATGGAATTCCCGCTTTTGCATCCTCATCCACAAATGCCAAATGCTCGTTAATTTTGCTATCAACATCCCCATTCTCCCCCCCCCCTGGCCCTGTTTATGAATGGAAATGGATTACACACAATTCACAGTTAATGACATTTCAATATTTCTTGATCAGTGATTAGATGACAACCTCTGTTCGAGCAACTCTGTAAATGCTCTACCTACGTACTTCAAATACAAAATAATTGCCAACAGAACTTAAACACCTGTTCTAAACACCGCCTAACTATACATAGAGCTTTAATATGTAATATTACCTTATATATATGAACAAACTTATTTTCAATATACAATATTTTAATATTTATGAATACATCTTGGGGAACGACCGCCACTTTAACGAGTCTGGGTTTAGGACAAGTTGCACTCGAGTCATGAACAAACACATCTATCCTGGACACTTGTGCCGTTAAGGAAAATTACTCCCTTATCCGTCAGGTCCTTGGAGCGTGCAAAATGGCAATGCTGCAGTTTGTTGTTGGAATTTTAATGGGTTTGATTTGGAATGAACAGGCGCTTTGTAACAACGATTCTCATTGGTTAATCACTCATCACGCACTTATTTACATAATTCTCTCAGACATCTACAGGAAAATGTTATGGCACTATGAATAAAAATTAATATATTTAAATTTGTGACAAAGGGAGATAGCTCTTCAAATACGCTTATGAGTTTACTCGTAAGCGTATTCATGTACACGAAAACATGTACACAAAATAATGTATTATAATATTATGTATAGGCATTTGACCCTTGAGACAGACGACGTTTCATCACACAAAACGTTTGTTCAATTTAAAATTGTTTTATAAACATTTACATATGAAAATTAAGTTGATATACCGTATATGAATAATTGTATCAAGAAATAATTACACATCAACATTTAGAATTGAAGAAGAGAATCCGAATACATTATATTTCAATATAATTGAATATTACTGGAGGACGAGATAAAAGGAATATGGACTTTGTGACCTGTATTTGATTCCAGAGAACATTTATTAAAGTTTTCATTTAAGTAAGTTATTAAATATATTATGTAATAGTATGTTTAGTTGATCAAATAATTATGTGGGGGAGAGACAGAGAGAAAGAGACAAAAACACACAAGCACATTTACATAACTATGGAAGACATATGAATTCTCTGATCACATTATGCTTGTAATTTGTTGCCGTTTGCAGATTATTGCATACTCAACAGTATACAGTAATGTTATGTCCTGTGTCTAGGTTACATCCGACTTTTTGAAGAAGTGGTCTGCATCAATATCCTCAATCTTGTTCAATTGTTTTAAAAGTCTCAGATCTCATCTATAATTAAGACTTGTTCACGTTAGAGATCTAACTACTGCACTGCACCACACGACAATACTCGAGGGAGGCATTGTGCAAGTCGAGAAAACTCGATTTTAAGATATCGTAAGATTTAAAACGTGTGTATGGTAGGTTGGTTACGAGATGGAGGCCCGGGGACTCCAGTGAGCGGTTGTTAGAAAGTTCCAACACTGATACATCCTTATTGTATCATAATACATCACCATTGTATACCGGGAATAGTATCTATTAATCCTACTAACTGTAGTACTAATATAAATTAATATTCCTATATGCGTGTCATTTACTAAAATTCTCCCCACATCGAGGGGCAGTATTGCGTCAGATAATATCCCAACCTGTTCTCTTAAAAAGAACGTCGCTTTTGGCCGTTTGCCCGTATGGCCGAATTTGGACGTAATTTGAAAATGAAAAAAAAATGAAAACAAATTTGGAATTTTTTTTTTCAACAACAGTAAGTTAAGGGTCCTCTGATAGGTTAGGTGGGCAGGAAATTCTTATAACGTTTCAAAACGTTATGAAAAACGTTAATTTAAAGTGTCCTCTTATAGCCTCTGCGCGTAGGCAGGACGACTCAAACAGAAAACGGAACAGAACGTCACTTTTGTGAGTCGATTTCATTTCAAATTACGTCCAAATTTAGCCATATCGCTCATACGAGCCAAAAGTGACGTTCTTTTTAAGAGGACGGGTTGAATATCCAGCAAGGCATAATTATTGTCAACATGCCAGAGAATTGAATAATATTTTCAACCTTTGTCAGTATTCTTTATAAAAATTAATACCAGATAATATAACAACTAGTGATCCAATAACAACGAGTTATCAACTAAAATATCACTATATAACAGTTTATCTGTTATCTTAAACCATCATGGAGGAAACAGAAATTCTCTCCATTTCTCGTTCAATAAGAACACTTCATAATTATTATTATTCAGCGAGAATGGAAACAATATTTAACTCCCTATAATTGTGACTCAATTCTCATTAACGTATTAAGTAGAGTAATTACAAGGAAAATAATTTTCCGTTTCTACAAAAATATGTTGCGCATGCGAGAGTGGGAATGAGGGAGGAGAGTCAGACGCTAGTAGACCTCCATGCGGATGGACGACACCTGAGACAACGTGTCGGCCATTAGTCCAGGAAGAGGCGAAACTTTTATCAATTACACGATAGGCCCTTGCCTTAGAGTATAATTGCACACTCTAATCGGCCTTAGAGTGTGCAATTACTCCATTAGCGATCCAAGGATTGCATCAGTGGACAACCAGCAGGTTAAGTGGTCTAGTTTTTTTATAGGAGCTCACTATATAATTACTGTGCACTTAGTCCATCGTTACATAGTAATACCTCTCCTAATGACAAGTACGTCTGCAAGAAATTTATTTTGTCCCTTCCATTGAATCGTAATGATATAATTTAACTTGTGTTATACACTCCACTGGGTTTTCAGCGTGTGTTGGAGCTGCCGTGATTGCAACAATTTCCCACGCTAAACTAGCGGGTCACGTGTTCCAGCAAGTTCCAGATGACGCCATCTCAACACCACGCTTCCGTTCACTGTCACAGCTAAGCAGCTGAGATTATTTCAATTTAGTTATTACTTACTTATGAACAGTTGAAACCTAATAATAATTTGAGATTATATTTCATTTACATGATCTAGGAAGTGAAGTATAGTTTCATAGCCTCATGAACTAGGAACAATTTTCTTGTCTAATCCTTATTCAATATATTCTTGTTACTAACCAAATTATCAAATGTTTATTTCATTTATATATCATAGTAAGAGTTACTAATTTTATTCGAGGAAGAACCAGCCACGATGAAGTGTACTAGGAGTACTCAACTTCTGGTATTAACCTCCCATTTGTGAAGTTTGAGAAAGTTTACCTCTTGAATAGTAATTTAATCTACAGTCCATTAATATTCAAGGAATAATTCTTAATGGTTACATTATCCACAGGCACTGGTATTTTAGTCTTTTTCAAATGCTTATTTATCTGTTTCCCTTTTCAGTAAAACTAGGGTGGTCCTTCGAGTCAATCAATTAAGTATCAATATATTGAGAGTTAGCTTTCCTTCACGACACAAATTTTGTCTTTTTTGAACTGAATACATCCAAATTAATATCAAATTCTATATCAGTTCTCAGAGAACAAAACAAAGTTTGTCCTCGTCGAATCTGATAGATAGCTGAGGATCAAGCTATCCTAATTAACGATTACTAATTACCGTGTGTAGTAACCTAGACTAACCATATTTCATTATCTGCGGCTACCGGCAGTGTACCACATATGTTAGCCTAACTCACACCAATTTATTTGCTGTCTATACCTCATGTATAAAGTAGCACTAGTTGGACATAGTCAGTTATCCACAACACTCAGACCTATACCTCACATTGAGGTAAAAATCTTCAGGTCACCAGGAGCAACAGCTCACAATTTCTATAATAACTCCACATTAACACCTGCATTAGATTGGCCTCACCATCTAACCATTATTTATCTAGGTGGTAATGACATCCGTCCTACTCGACACCCAGCTGAGGTAATTAGTCACCTTAAATCAATAAT